AAGTTAGTCTGACCCTCGATTACTTCTCTCTCTCTCTCTCTCTCTCTCTCTCTGGGAAATGCCCTTCATTCCCACTCACTCTCCCTCCCATCCCCCCGTGACTCATAGCTAAACATTCTTGCAGTAGAATTTGTTTATTTTCAACAGTCTAAGAATAGATTTTTCATTACACCCTCTGGATGGCCTGGCTCCACACCCCAAACCTTAGCTCCTGCCCCAGCCTGGCCCAGAGCCCTCTTCCCCAATGGATGCCAGGGAAGTGGGAAGCTGGGAGCGGGCTTAGTGGCTCATCTTTTCAGACCTTGGCTGTTGTACCATTCTTCAGCCTGGTTAGCTCACCAACCTGTGTTGTTCCATGGAGTTGGTGCTTTCCCTACTCCCTGGCTCTATGGAACCATGCAGGGACATGCACTGAAATAACTCTCTGTTGTGGGGAGATCTGCAGAGCAAGAGGTAGCTGCAGGCAGGTCCAGCCAGGTCAGGAAGATAAAATGGTGAGTGCCTGAATGCAGCAAAACAGTGAATTCCATGGCAGAAATGGTGGTTTCTGTGGTATCCTGGAAAAAATGGCAACTTGTGCAGCCATGGAAGATCAGAGTTGATGGAGCCCTGGTTGAGATGGATGCGGCAGAACACACTCTCAGAATGATTGTTTCAGGCTCTCTGCAGACTCAGGCAGGCATCTCTCCATCTGTTTACATTCAATTCACATTTTCAAGGTCCTGCTCGGGAAAGACAGCTAGTCATGAAAGCTGCATACTGTCTGGGCCAGCTATGGTTCACAGTCCTGCTGCAGATGAGCCAAGGGCAGGAGATACAGATTAATCAATTAGGTCACATTTCTTTTCTATCCAAAGTAAGGTACTCAGGTCTGCTTACAAAGTTATCTTGTAGAGCCGCTGTTCAGTCAGGTACATTTTAGCCAACTTTTGTGCTCCGCTTTCTCTCTGGCGTGTTAAGAGACAGGAAGCTCTCCAAGCTGAAATGGTTTCGGTTATTCTGTTTAGGAGGGATTAGGTGCTGGTGCTGTCAGAAGCGATGGAATTCTGTCTTCTCAAGCGAGGCAGGGAAAGGGCTGCCTGCATCCTGGCCAAAAGCACAGGGTGCCAAGGCTGACTAATGTCACAGGCTTGTGCCGTGGGCCTGGGTTCCCTCCAGAAATCCTGCAATGACGTCTGCATCTCAGCTTTCATTTTTAAGAAATCTGTTTCCAGATCTTGCAAAAAAAAAAAGAGCTTGGAAAAAAA